TCAAAGATAAAGAAAACGCTTCGCAAATTTCTACCGTTAGTTAACTTTCATTTTTCTTTTAAAAAACATCAGACACTTAAGAACATTTTCTTGTCTATAATGAAAGGGAAGGATGAGTCCAAGAAAGAGAAGAAATTAGTTTACTTGATCCCATGTTCTAATTGTGAACATGTTTACATCGGTCAAACAGATCGATCTATGTCGATGTTCTATGTTTGCTTTTATTTTTATATATAGTAATTATGCCGTCTAATTCGAACATTGTTACACTACAGTAATTAATCCAAATATTCATCCAATAATAAAAAAGGTCTGAAGTTTCAAGTCATTGGGATTTGCTGAAGTTCCGATCCAAACCGTGTAATTACCAGGCGCAATAGTCCATTTCTGGTTCACAACATTCCAGTAGGATATGTCCTTTTGTGTCAATGTCATTGTCACGATCTTTGATTCACCTGGCGCTAGGTAGACTCTCTCGAAGCCTCTTAATACTTTGGGCGGTTCAGCGGCTTCATCAGGAAATCCGAGATATAGTTGGGGCACTTCGGAGCCGTAAACATTGCCAGTATTGCGCAAAGTAAACGATGCAGTATAAGCAGGTTCGTACAGCTGTGAAGTACTTGCAACAGCATTGAAGGACGCTCGACGCCGCCGATTGACAGATGCGATGAAGCGCTTATTTTTACTGACTTTTGAAACGCCAAGACTGGACAAAGAAAACGTTGTGTATGAAAGTCCGTATCCAAAATAGTAACGTGGCATGATATTGTACTTATCAAAGTGGCGATAATCCAAGAAGACGCCTTCAGTATAATTCGAATTATAGGTTTCAGTAATGTTAGTGCCATAGTCCGAATCGTTCTTGGCGATTGTAAAAACGAGTTTACCTCCAGGATTATAATTACCGAATAGAACATCGGCAAGTGCTGGTCCATATTCCGGTCCTGGTAAGCCAGACCAAATAACGCCAGCCACATTTGGATGATCAACCCAAGCTTCGAGGTTCAGTTGAGAAACACTATTGATAACAACAACAGTAGATGCACATTGTGCGGCGACAATTTGTACGAGTTGGTCGCCCTGGTTGTAAGCCTGAAGACTGGATCTGTCTCGACCTTCTGTCGACCAAGCGTTTATAAAAACGAGACACTTCGGTGTGGAGTAGCCGGGAACCCGAAATGAGTCATTGATGGTTTTATAATCGCTTTGATCGGTGACGAATTGGATGTGAAAGTGACATTCTCGAGCTTTGGCAACAAGTGTGTTGATAGGATCGATCGCATACGTAGGTCGGACAAAGCCTGAACCTCCACCTTGATAAATAGCACCATCAAAGCCTTGGGCATCTCCCGGCGAAGGACCTATTTTGAATTGACCGGCTGCCGATCCAAACACAGAAATGTGTTTGTCCGAGTCCGCGTTAAACGGCAGAACATTGTTCGTATTTTTTAGTAAAATAATACCGGCAGTACCAGTCAGACGGTTGATCTTATGATGGTCCTGTGTTACATCGCGACTGAAGTCAAGTGTCGGGTAGCCCTGATCTTGTCCGACAAGATAGTAAGGTGCCAAAATTCGAGTGACCATATCATCGATTCTCTCTTCGCTGATTCGTCCACTTTGCACAGCTTGAAGAAGAGAATAACCCATGAACCCATCTCCACCCGGCATTTCCACATCTAATCCACCCAACACTGATTCGATTCCGGTTTTCGTCGCTCCCCAATCGGACATGACGTTGCCTTGAAATCCGAGTTCACCCTTCAACAGATCGTTCAACGTTTTGCTGTTCTGACACGCTTGTGTACCGTTGACTTGATTGTAGGAACACATAACGGAACCCGCGCCGGCGACTACACTAGACGCGAACGGCCACAAATAAATTTCGTGTATGGTCTTGTCGTCGATGTTAGCGGAATAACCTTTCGAACTGATATCGTACGGATTGGAACTACTAGATGCTGTGACATCGTAGAAACGATTGGTTTCCTGCTCGTTGGCAATGTAGTGCTTGGCAGTAGCAACCACACCTTGATTTTGAACTCCTAGCACATATTCGAACGAATTCTCGCCAGATAGGTACGGATCAGCGCCGAATCCTTCCCAATTACGACCATGTAGAGCATTACGATCGATATTCATCATAGGTCCCAATAAAAAGTGGATACCTTTTCCTCTGAATTCCTGGCCGATTGCAACGGCGCGAGCGTAAGCGAGATCTCGATCCCAGGTAGCTGCGATATGAATGCCAGGAACGAAAGCGGTCGCGAATTCAACATTGTCGCCAACGCCGGAAGGTGAATCTTGGAAGCAGAGGCCGGGAAAACCGAGATGTTGAATCGGTGGTACATTTCCAGCACACGGTCCACCAACTCCGGCTGTCATATTGACCTTTTCTTCGAGAGACATCTGTGAGGTGAGCGCTTTGGCTTGAGCAATAGCTTCATCCCATGTTCTCGATCGAATTTCGTTGGCATTAGCACCGCCTAAGGTGTTGGAACTGCATGAAAGACAAACAACTAAGATGGCGAGAATACAGTATCTGTCGAACATCTAGATTACAATGTCACAAGCTCGTGCTCTGACGATAAATGAATATATATATATATATATGTGTGTGTGAAGAGAAGTGTGTGCAGCAAAGGTGTGTGTGTGTGTGTTTTATCAATGATATAAACACATGTCCGAAAATAGTATTATCTCATAGCTGTCCTCTTATGTGAGGTATAGAGTGGACGATAGCATTTGCGTGTTAGAACTGTCGAAACATAAGTACACTTTTCAGATAAGAATGTTTGCACGAACGAACCTGTTGTGTTTGAAGAAAGATAACGACATTGGTGTGCGTTGTTCGAAGACTTCACATCAAAGATGAGATGACTGAAAGTAACTGTTGTAAATCGATCATTACAAACTTGAAAGGTTTCTTGAATGTTCAAAAGTGAAAATCGTCGTCATACGATAGTTATGATTTGCGTCTAAGTGAGTGTTTCGATAAATGACCTTTTCCATCGTTAAATAAAAGCTTCACGTTACCCTTACCTTACATCTTAAAACCATCAGAATTACTGTTTCAGAGCATCACTGTAACTCTGAAAAATTAAGCTAGAGACTTAATCCAGATAATTTTAGTTATTACTTGGAAACAAGTAATAAATCCTATTATTTTATTACTTTACTTAACACTAATAAAAAGAAAAGTAACAAAAAGTAATCAGTACAATGATGAAAACTCACTACATACAGAAGTAATAAGTAATAAAACCACAAGATTTATTACCTATTTAAAGGCAATAACTAACAAATGTTTATTACTTTTACCGGATAATGTAAAATAACCAACTATTGAGAATCCAGCTATTGAAAATGTATTTTATACAGGGTCATTAGCAGCATGCATAGGTTTTGTAGTAGAATTTTTACGCCTTTTGCGTTTAATAAAGTCGATGTGGTGAGAAAAAGTGAGTTTAGCATCAAGAATGGTGTGAAGATCTTTGAATTTTGGAACATGAGAAACGATATGGCCCTGACATTGAAGATCAGGTATGACAGGGTGCACTTGGTGATGAAATAACATTCAAAACGTTATTTGAAAACTGATAGATTGTTTCCACATCACAGAATAATAGATTAGACGATTGAGAACATCCGTTACTTGTTGAACTAGGTTCAGAATCAGAGAGAAAGATGACGAGTATGCCGAAGAAGAGATAACAGTTTTGAGATCATCCATCCGCAAATAAATGTTTTTAGTAGATATCCGAAAAGTGTTTAACAGATCATAGAGATACACAATAAAAATGATAGCGCCGATACAGCTACCACTTTAAACAGATGCAGGAGCACATATTTCAATCCCTTTATCTCAATATAGATCTTTTAGATAGAATCGTAACTAGAGGAATCGTTCGTATCCGATGATATTGATATCGGAATATTTATTAATGATTTAACTGATGGTAATAAATTTTCTAAAATCATTCCAACTATGAAACGGTTCAATTTTAAACTACTATATATCTACGGTAA